AATATAAAATCAAATCGGAAATTAAATTTATATTATATATACACTCTTCAGAGAAAGTTCAATGTTATCACAGAGGTCATCGATCCCTTACCAATTTTTTCTGTTCAATGAAAAATTAACAACATTATTGAGCAATGTAATACTTTAGCAAAGTTGCTGAGTTTTATTTTTAATAAATTTAATAATAAACTAACTTTATCATAGGTAAATCTGAGAAAGTCTAATGCCATTAATAACAAGGAACAGAAAGTCAATATTATACAAATTCAGAATTATGGAATTAAATCAACTCTTCCTTCTTCCTCTTAAAGCCTGATAAGTCACATGAGCTTTAACAACCAATGTGTGGATAGATATTATATCTATATATATAGTCAGAATAATTAAAATATCCTTTTTTAGGGGGGGATTGATATATATAACTTTTATGCACAACAAAAAATGGATCTTTGCCTTCTAAGTTTCTCATTCAAAAATATAAATCCATTAAAGTAAAAGTAGCAAATATGAGCAAATAGTCATGCTTCCGTTATGTTTATTTTGAGTCAAAATAAATTATTTACTTACAGTTAACTTGTTGGTTAATTGCTTAAAATATTTTACGTTGACTGGCACTAGATGTCTCCACAAAGAACACTACCAAGATATCTATTTTCATCTAGCAAATAATTTAACATAAGTAATTTAGACTGGAAGTGTACTTTTCTTCACAATACAGGTTAGCAATTGATATTCTTGTAGCAAACACAACGACTGGTGGTAATATTCTACAATTGATAGTCTTGCAGTACAGAATACGGTTGTTGATATTATACAACTAATAGTCTTGTAGCATAGAATAAGGTTGGTGGTGATATTCTACAGTCTTCCGAAAAGGTAAAAATTAGCTTCAGCAGTCTGCAGCATTCCATTAGATAGAAGCAAAGCATTGAACATTCTACAAACATCCCGATTAGACTAATTAGTGGATTTATAGTTTTCTAGTCAACGAGTCATTTCATAGATTTCTGGTACTGAAGAAGTTAGCATATGTGCTACTTTCTGGGCACTTCTGATAGTCTTCCAGAACAGTACACTAAGCCAATTTACATGTTCATCATACACGTTGGTTAGGAGTAGATAAGGAGAGCATCTGGTTCTGTAATTTTGAGAAGTTTAATGTTCTCGTCTTGTGATGTGGAACACTTGACAGATTTCTGGCAATATTAATTGCTCCCAAAATATATTATATTAAGTACACAAGAACAGCCCCTGCCCTACCTATATGGCAGTTCTGTGAAATACCAGTAACCCTATATATCGATCTTACCCCTCATAATATTGAGCTAATAGACGAGGACCTTTGATAATGGGGGGGGGGTGCCAACAACCGAACTGAAACCACCTTTTTCATCATCTCTACCAATATGTTGGTTGGCTCAAGGCTAAGTTCCTAATATTGCTTTATGAGAATCAGAGTAGCAGGACCATGCCTTTGAAAGGGTGAAATGCTATGCCGTTGTGACAGAGGGACATCCTGTGCCATCGTAAGGAAGTGCAAAAAAATTCTGGATCATAACATGGTTTTCAAATAGCTCTCTTTACTCGTTAATACCAAGCACGAAAAATAGAAGTCAGCTAGAAAATCAACTTACTTCAAGAAACTACCAGCACCTATTATCCTTGAGTGTCCCAGAAGGCACACAACTACCAACTATATATAGTGGTATAATCACTGCTTTGGAGATAGAAGACTGATGACTGATGTAGCACAGCAATCACTGCTGTGGAGATAGAAGACTGAGAACTGATGTAGCATAGCAATCACTGCTGTGGAGATAGAAGACTGATGACTGATGTAGCATAATAACCACTAATGCGGAGATAGAAGACTGATGACTGATGTAGCACAATAACCACTAATGTGGAGATAGAGACTAACCATTGATGTAGCATAGCAATCACTGCTGTGGAGATAGAAGACTGAGAACTGATGTAGCACAGTAACCACTAATGTGGAGATAGAAGACTGATGACTGATGTAGCACAGCACTCACTGCTGTGGAGACAGAAGACTGAGAACTGATGTAGCACAATAATCACTAATGAGGAGATAGAAGACTGATGACTGATGTAGCACAATAACCACTAATGTGGAGATAGAAGACTGAGAACTGATGTAGCACAATAATCACTAATGTGGAGATAGAAGACTGATGACGGATGAGCACAGTAGCTACTGCCGTGGAGATAGAAGACTGAGAACTGATGTAGCACAGGAATCACTGCTGTGGAGACAGAAGATTGGCCACTCATGTAGCATACTAATCACTGTTGTGGAGATACATAAAATGAGAACTGATATACACAGTAACTACTGCTGTGGAGATAGATACGTTATCACTGATGTAGCACAGCAATCACTGCTGTGGAGATAGATACGTTACCACTGATGTAGCACAGCAATCACTGCTGTGGAGATAGATAAATTACCACTGATGTAGCACAGCAAACACTGCTGTGGGGATAGAAGACTGAGAACTGATATAGCACAGCAATCACTGCTGTGGAGATAGAAGACTGAGAACTGACATAGCACAGTAACTACTGCTGTGGAGACAGATAAGTAACTACTGCTGTGGAGACAGATAAGTAACTACAGATGTAGCACAGTAACTACTGCTGTGGAGACAGATAAGTAACTACAGATGTAGCACAGTAACTACTGCTGTGGAGACAGATAAGTAACTACAGATGTAGCACAGTAACCACTAATGTGGAAACAGAGCACTAAACACTGGTGGAGCATAGCAATCACTGAATGAACATTGGTGAAGGGGACACCTCAGATAGGAAAATAAATAGTTGAATCCATGAGATAACTCATCTCCAAAAGGAAGTAAAGTGCTCCCAGTGTACAGAGAGCTTCAGAGGCCTTCCATGAGATCAATTCCAAAATGTGCAATGATAATATTATGATTGAATTTTATTTACCTCATTATCTGGGTAAGGTGTTGAAAATATACATATGTAGTTTTGTATCTTATTTCTGTTCATTGGCCCCCAGTGGCACAACGATATGTCTGGGGACTTACAGTGCTAGAAACCGGTTTCGATACCCGTGGTGGGCAGAGCACAGATAGCCCATTGTGTAGCTTTGGGCTTAATTCCAAACTAACAAACAATTATTTTCATTTCTAATTTTAATGTCGCTTCATTTTGATTTTAGGATTAAAGTTGATATTCTAGTGGAGAAATTTTGTTTTACTGCTTCATGTTAAATGTGTTTTAACTGTAACTATTTTGAATTGTTTTTATTTTAGTTACTGGTGTGTTTTATGCTCAACTTTAATTTTGAAACTTTTGTTTGATATATTTTTATTTTATTCAGTAACTTTTTGAACTAGCTCCTGGGCAGATTTATATTCAATATCATCTTATTTCATTGTATGATTCAGTTTAACTGATATTTCATTATATGTTTTGTATATTTTTATTGGTTCTGTTTTGTATATTATGACTTTCGATATTTTATACGAGTTGTGCTTCACTTTTTTTTATGGCCAGGTGGTTTGGGAGCTC